AATCGGCGGCGGCGGTGGTGGCTTTGGCGGCAACCTTGCTGCGGCGCTGTGGCCCCAACAGCAGCAGGCCCAGCAGCAGCAGCAGCAGGCACAGCAGCAACAGCGGCTCTCACAGCCCCAGCAGCAGCAGCAGCAGCAGCAGCAGCGGCAGATGCAGGGTGGCGGCAGCGAATGGACCAGCGCCGCGCAGCTGAACGGCCTTGACCTGGGCGTCAGCGCCAGCAGCGGCCGGACCAGCAGCGCCAGCAGCAGCAGCGACGGCAGCGGCGCTGCTGCCGCCGCTGGTAGCAGCAGCAGCAGCAGCGCCAATGCGGCCGACCCGGCAAGTGTGAGGGGCAGCAGCGGCAGCAGCAGCGACGCGCAGCCGGGCATGTCGGCTCTGCAGCAGCAGCAGCAGCAGCAGCAGCAGCAGCAGCAGCAGCAGCAGGCCAGGTCAGCCAGCGTTGCCGACGCGGGCTCGAACAGCGCCCTCATAAACGAGGTCGTCTGCGGCGCGCTGATGATGGCCTTCGACCGCGCCGGCCGCTGGCGCGACGCCGCCGCCGTGCTGCCGCGCGCGGCCGCGCTCGGCGTGCGGCCCAACGCGGTCATGTACAACACGGCCATCGGCGCCGCCGGCCGCGCGGGCGAGGTCGCGGCTGCGGATGCGCTATTCGAGGCCGCGAAGGCTGCGGGCGCGGCCGACCACGTCACATATGAGTCGCTGATCGCCGCGCACGGCATGGCCGGCGACGCCGCGCGCGCCGAGGCCGTGTTTGCGGCGATGGGCCCTGCGGGGCTCAAGCCGCGCGAGTACGCGTACTGCGGGCTCGTCGCGGCGCACTCGCTGGCCGGCGACGCGCAGGAGGCGCTGCGCGTGCGCGCGCGGATGCGGCGCGCGGGCGCGCGGCCTGGCGTGCACGCGTACAACGCGCTGATCGCGGCCTGCGACCGCGCGGGGCTGTACGAGCGCGCGCTGGACCTGCTGCGGGGCATGCGGCGCGAGGGCGTCGCGGGCAACGCGCTGACCGCTGAGCTGGCGGCGAGCGTCGGGCGCAAGGGGGCGGCGACGGTGGAGGGGCAGCAGCTGACTGCGGCCGCGCTGTCGGCGGCGATGGCGGCGGCGGGGACGCTCCTGATGCGCTCGGGGGTGTTTTGAGGTGGCAAAGCCTGCCGCTGCTGCGGGCCGCTGCTGGCGCTGGCGCTCGGAGCGCCCCGGGCGGGCTGCTGCGGGTGGCATGCACCCGGGCGGGGCGCGGGCAGTGCTGGTGGCTGTCCGCAGCGCGCTGGTGCAAGCCCAGACCCTGGTCCGCCTCGTGTACGCCTCGCGCTCGCGCTCGCACACCTCCCGCCCTAGTCTCAACCCCTATCGCTGCGCCGTAATTGCCCTCGCAGCGCAAATTGATTCTATCGTCATGCGAGCATCGTTTGCGTCGCGTACCCTTAAGTTCACCCAATGTGCAGCCGGTTGCCTCCCGCTTGCTATGTCCGGCGCAGCCGCCACGCCAACATTCACGTTCTTTTGACCGGCCACCCACCCCATGCGCGCAGCCCCTGCACACCCAACCCGGTTCATAACGCTGCAAGCCTGAAGATGCTCCACCATTCGTCAGCGCCCCTCCCTGCACCCTCGATGTCACCCGCGTCTGACCTGGCGCGTGCCCCTCCTGCCTGACTCGCTCTATGTGTTTTGCTGGCGATCGCGGATGGCGAGGAAGGCCCGTGGTGAAAATTCGCCCGCTCGCGTTCAGCAGTGTCAACCCGCTGGCGCCAACCCATTCATGTCTAGTCATCCGTGCGTGCGATTTCGGGCAGGCTGGCGCCGCTTCTGATTTTCCTGGGCTTGGCCTTGGGCCTTGAATTCTTCTCATCGAGCGCGACGTGCGGCCGTCTCTGCAGCGCCGCCTCCCGCGCTTCGACTCGCGGGAGGGGTCGACACCAGAGGCCGCGGCGCCCTGAACGGGCGCGCGTATCATCTTGGACCCGGCCTCGTTTGCTCTGGCGCGGAAACATGGTTGATCTTGGTGTCGACAGCCCCTTGCCGGGGCTGTCAACATTCACAGCATGTAACGTCTCTTGATAACCCTGCAGCACCCTCACAATGAGAAATGCATCTAGTTGTGAACCGAGGCCCGCATGCAGACCAAAAGTTCGCTGCCGTGTGTCAGCGGCACGCGGACCCCAGCAATGCGCCGCCGAAACCAACATACGCCGCCGTGCAGGGGACCGGAGCTGGGGCAGCGTCCGGGCGAAGTGCACCACAAGACTCCGCTCCGAGGCTGCCGGCTCCATCCAGCCGCCGCAGGACATAATCGCGTTCGCGGGGGTGCTGCGGGTGCTGACAAGCGGCACCGGAAGCCAGCCACCCTTACTAAATTCCCCGTGCAATGCGCTGCGGGGACCGGGGCTTGCGCAGTATCAAGATGCCTCTGAAAAGGAGGCCAACGCCCAAACGTAGCTAGTATGCTGCGCTGCAAATCTTGCCTGCAGGCTTGAGTTTGAAAGCGCTGGGCGGCTGCGGCAGTGGCGG